TTAGGCATGAAATCCGACTGGGTGACTTTGGACCAATCACCGGGAGATGGTTATTGCTTAGAGGAGCAGAAAAGAAAAAACAACAACAACAGTGAAGCTGTCAGTGATCCAGAAATTTACTTCGAAATGGGAGAAATTCTAATTAGGGCAGACATGGAAAATAGTCGTGTTTGAAGGTGATGGGACCACACCCCGCTTTTTCTTCCAAGCTAGCTTGCTGCAGACGGGGCGCAAGAAAAAAAAACGCCGTGAGAAGTGCACCAAACTAGGAGGGAGCACCCAGCCCTGAGGCTGGCCTTGTCTCCGGGGAACGTGTGCGTTTCCACAGCCTGTTCCCACAAACCGTGTCCTTTGGCAGCCTTCCACCTTTATTCTTGCGCCTTCAGGAAGCTGCTAGATGGCCGGAGGAGGATGGAAAGACACGCTAATAGACATACCAGCTTGTTCCAACCGGCTGTCTTTTGGATTTATAGACAGGTTCTCCAATCACGCAGGTTATGGTTCTCCCAAAGGTGTTTTTTTCCAAGAGGCAACTCATGGATTTTACGGGTTGTTGTTGTTGGTTTTTTTCTGAGCTGGAGAAGCTTCTTGGAGGAGAAGCAAAACAGCTTCAAAGGAACAAAAAAATCAGAAAGTCCAGACGCCTCTTCGAAAAAAGAAATCACCTTTGGGTCTTTTAGATTTGTTAAGCTATGGTTCCCAGTGGATGCAGCCCGTTTGGGGAAGGCAGGTGGCATCTTGGCTCAACAACGGTTGGAGCAGAGGGAATGGGATGGATGGACGTGGAACAAGCACAGGTGAAGATGAGACACCAAGGTAACGTTAAGGTCTGTCTAGAAAGAGTGCAAAGACGTTGCAAGAGAGATGATTAGGGGACTGGAGGTTACAACACGTGACAAACCATTGCAGGAATTGGGTATGTCCGGTTTGATGAAAAGAAGAACCAGGGGGTGACATGATAGTGGTCTTCCAATATTTGAAGGGCTGCCCCAAAGAAGAGGGAGTCAAGCTATTCTCCAAAGCAGGAGTCTCCAACCTTGGCAACTTTAAGACTTGTGGATTTCAACTCCCAGAGTTCCTCAGCCAGCAAAGCTGGCTGAGGAACTCTGGGAGTTGAAGTCCACAAGTCTTAAAGTTGCCAAGGTTGCAGACCCCTGCTCCAAAGCACCAGAAGGCAGGACAAGAAGCAACGGATGGAAATTAAGGAAGGAGAAAAGCAACCCGAAACTAAGGAGAAATTACCTCCAGAAGTTGTGAATTCTCCAACACGGGAAGTTTTTGTGAAGAGATTGGACAACCGTTTCTCTGAAACGGGATAGGGTTTCCTGCCTAAGCAGGGGGTTGGACTACAAGACCTCCAAGGTCCCTTCCAACTGTGTTATCCTAACTTCTGCCTTTGCTTCAATTCACCAGCCCTTCCTGGTACCCTCCCTAGCCTCTATGCAGTTTCCCTGTCTATTGATAAACCTCCTTCTCTTACCTAGATTTTTATTTATTTCCTGCCTTTATTATTTTTTATAAATAATTCCAAAACAGGGAACCCACACGCCGCTCCTTCCTCCTCCTATCTCCCCCACAACAGCTACTCTGTGAGGTCATTGGGGTGGAGAGAGATCGGCTTTGTGGGGATGCTCTGGGGGTGAGATTTCTCTGCAGCCCACCAAAATTTTCTCACGGCCCACCAGTTGGTGACGGCTGCTTTATACCATTTCAGACAAACGGCTGTCCATTTCTCCTTAAAAACCTCCAGTGACAGAGCATCTACAACTTCTGGAGGCAAGTTGTTCCACTGGATCATTGTTCTTACTCTTAGGAAGTTTCTCCATAGAATAGAATAATAGAACTGAATAGAATTAGAATTGGAATTGGAATTAGAAAGATTAGAATTAGAATGATTAGAATTAAGACATAAGACATAAGAATTTATTTGTCATTACACTCGCAAGCGGGTGCAACGAAATGAGGTGCTCTTCCACAAGTAAAACTGGACAACACCATTGAAAGAAAAATAAAAACTAAACACAACAGACCATACAATAATCTCTATACAATTTAAAAATGTAAATACCCCATTACTCTCAGCCATTAAATTCCACAAAAATCTTATGACCCTGCATTCAAACTCAAAGCTGCCCTTGGATAAAAACTGTTCTTAAATCTAGTCGTCCTTGTTCTTAATACCCTGAATCTCCTTCTCGATGGTAATAGTTCAAAGAGCTGATGTCCCGGATGAGAGGAGTCATTCAATATATTAAATATCTTCCTCTTACATCTATTCCTATACCGTTCTTCCAAAGAGGGGAGTGAGCAGCCAATGATGTTTTGGGCCATCTTAATCACCCTCTGATTTGCCTTTTTCTCTGCCACTGTGCAGCTCGAGAACCATACACGGAGACAGTAGGATAATCTACTCTCAATTGAACTCCGATAGAAGGTAGTCTAATTAGAATTATTAGAATTAGAATTATTAGAATTAGAATTATTAGAATTAAAATTATGATCAGAATTATTAGAATTAGAAGAGTTGGAAGGGACCTTGGAGGTCTTCTAGTCTAACCCCCTGCTAAGGCAGGAGACCCTATCCCATTTCCTTAACTCCAGGTTGCTTCTCTCTCCTTGGTTAGTTTCCATCCGATGTTTCTTGTCTTGCGTTTCTGTAAGGAGATCCCAGGGAAGAAGCTGTCCTGGACCGCGAAGCCAACAGGTTCCAGCCTGCTTCCCCCATGCGGACAAAGCGGGATATATTGACCTTCCCTCGGATGTTCACATTCCTCCACTCTCCCCTCCCCTTGGAACCCCGAGTTCGCTCTCTAGGAGGGTTGGGTTGGGTTGGAGTGTTCCTCTCCGGCCTCTTCCTTCTCCTAGGAAGTCCCGTAGAGACGCTTATCTCCAGATTTCAGGCTAAAAGTATGCTGAGAATCTGGACGTGGCCCCACCTCGGGCTGCAGAGGCAGGGAAGGACTGCTCGCCCGGTCAATTTTGGTCTTGTTTATCACGACCGCTTGCCAGGAATTTGCATCCTCATGGACGAGAGTTTCCCCTTGCTTTCTTGGCAAGAGGCACGTCCACTCTGGTATTCAAGAGCAGCCTCCTCCGTCAAGCAGGCCAGGGGTGCGTTTCAAATATTTTTACCACCGGTTCTGTTATGTCCTGAGGACTCTAGGAGTTCTCACTCAGGTCCATTCACTTTGCGGGGGCGTTTTCCCCTTCACCCATTGGTTGGTTCTCCCCAGCAGCCAGCTATAAAAGCAG